AAGTTCTCTATTACAAAGTTCAATAGCGACTGACATAGGTATAAAATGTGAATTGATCCTAAATGCATTTTATCTCATTGGATGTAAGTAAAAGCTATTTCCTTGTTCTACTTTATAATTGTATTCTATCTACTTGTACATTCATATTTTTTCCTTGTAGTTAAGATTTTTCTATTTATAGTCTTCGCTCTAAACTAAAATGGAGCAGATCCCACTGATGCCTATAAGGAAGCAAACATTGTAATGTACACTTAATTATAGCGACTAAATACACTTTTTTGGTAGGAGACACTGCTATTGAAAGTGGAGAACATTACTGGGAGGCAACAGCACAGAAGGACTGCAAAAGCTACAGTGTAGGAGTGACATACAGAAACCTGGGGAAATTTGATCAACTGGGAAAGACTAACTCAAGCTGGTGTATCCACATCAACAACTGGCTGCAAAGCACCCTTTCCGCAAAACATAATAACAAAAGCAAGACCCTAGACTTACCTATTACAGACAGAATAGGAGTATACTGCAACTTTGATGGAGGTAAGTTACAATTTTAAGGAACTGAGATAAAACTTACTTGACTATTGTGTCAAGTTGAAGCAGTATAAGGCTAAAAGTACATTAGAGTTACTTCCAGACTGGTACAGTTTCTTATGACAATAAGGGACAGAGTTGTTCATGCAATATTGCTCATAATATCAATGACCGCAGTTTATCTCTGTGACAGAGCAGCTGAGAATTTTCGTAGTCATGTGGAATGGATTTAATGTGTTCCAGGAACCTTTCCCTGGAAAAGTATCAATTTTACAAAAAGTTAGGTAGCGACAGCATGTAAACATGTATTTTAACTTGCTTTCTGCCTCTTTCAGGTCAGCTCATGTTTTATAATGCAAACTCAATGGAACTCCTGTATGCCTTCAAAACAAAGTTCACTCAACCGTTATTACCAGGTTTTATGGTCAGTATCAAAAAAAATCTATTTCTAGCACTGAATTCACTTTGTTGAAGACTAATAATTGTGGTTTACACGTCCCTTGCAACTGTGGCCCTGAAGCTTCTCAAACCTTTATTTTTGTACTGTGTTTACACTGATGTCATTCTGTCATATCATACTGAAACAAAACACTGCTTTCAAACACTGGAGAACAGAGTTTTGCTTTTAATTGTCATTTTAAGTACTTGTTGTTACTATATATATTAGTCTTTTAAGAAGTTTTCCTATTAGAAACAAGTCTTGCACTATTGCGCTTTAAATTTCGTTGTAGACTTAGTCTGAAAGCACAGTATGTGTATATAGCACTTCATGGTCTTATTCAAAATTGGCTTCTATGTGATTGGAATATCTGAGTGCTGTGACTAGGGGGAAGACGTCCAGCTGTGGGATAAGTTTCCTGACAGCTCTATTGTAGGAGGGGAAAAGAGAAATGTTGTAGATGCTTCATCGTGTTTGCATTATTGATTTTTTTTAATTTATCTTTTTCTTCCTTCCCTTAGGTTTGGTGCGGTGGGCTTTCCGTGTCTACCTGTTTGCAGGTGCCAAGTGTAGTGAAAGCATTCCAGAAAAGTGTAAATGGATTGAATTCTTCAACTTGCAGTCTATACAGTGTGCCAGTAATGCCTATTGAAAGTTCCCATTGCTGAATATTCTGCGCAGCTGCTATGCACAGAAGCTTGGGAGCGTTGTACTAACATGGGTTTGCTACCAACTGTTGTTTTAAGGCCTGGTAGTGCAAAGGTTTGTGAATCCATACAGCCAGACAGAAAACTAAACTATTTATTTGAAAAATAAGTTGGGAAATTAAGAGCTGCAGCTATGTACTTTTCTAATACTGTATGTAAGCATTTTGTTATGGACTTGAATATTAATTTTTATTATGGATATTATTTTTCTATGAAGAATGTAACAAATGCTATTTTCTTAGCTCTCCTAGCAAGAATTATTTGGCTATAGATTGTGTTACTGCTTTGCTTCCCATTCAAACATGAGATAAATATGTATTTTAAAAGAATATCAATTCATGTAGACTAGCTATGAAGGAGCACTGAGACCAATCTGTGCTTCTTTCTGATTTGATCCTACTATTTCCCATGAGTAATTAATTTAAATATCTATTTAGAGTTTGAGTTCAGCTCCTGTTTATCACAAATTACAGAAAATGTAGAAATGCAGAGACACAAGCACTTGTCTGGCCACCATGAAGACTCAGTATGGGTAGTCAGCCATTGTACTAGGCATGCTCTCAGGTAAGAGGTAGAGAACCAAAAATCCAGACTTTTTAAAATGCACAGCATGTTACTGCTCTCAGAAGTCCTGTATTTTGGGTTTGCTCTCGGTTTTCCAGTTTTGTGGCTTTATTCTGATTGGAATCTGATAACTGGCAGTTCACATTGATCGAAGTATTCATTGGATACGAATGACGGGTTGAACAGCCAGTTCTTGTCTGCAGGTAGCAAAGGTGCAGTGCAGCCAAGTCTGGGACCAACGGTGTAAAAGCTTCAGATCAAATACAGAGAAGGGGGAGCTATTGCTGTAAAGTGTATTTCAGCTCTTTCTCTGCCCAGATTTGAGGCTTGACTAAGACTTCTGAAACACAGTGTCAGTATTAAAGCTGACCTTGAGCAGAGGCAGCACTGAATTCCTGGTGACAAAGGGGCATGCTTTGAACCCTGGATGCATTTTTGATACCTGTTCTGAGTAGTTTACCAGCGATTCCTGAAACTTCCTCGATAACTAGAGAAGACCAAACATTGCATTATTTCTGCATTGAGCAGAAGTGTGGCAAATACATTTAGCATCCCACTGTTAATTCCCTAGGTTATACCATGTGTCATTTGTATGTGGGTCTGAGTCTGGCTTTTGGAAGATCATATCCTAAAGAAATTCTGTATTCTAAAGCATCTCTGTAAGGCCTCAAACTTAGTCCTTCCTGCCTTGTTTAAGGGCAAGGGAAAAGTGAGCAAATGCTTTGCAAACTGAGCTTTAATCTGCTTTTGGATCTGTAGTTACATTTGTTCTTCCACAAAACAAGTGAAATGGTGGGCCTAGGTGTTCTTTTGTCTCAGTTCTTACTTCGGGATCTTAATAATAATAGTAATAGTCAAATGATTTATACTAGTGGGAGAGCTAAAAAAAAAAAAAAGCATGTTATATTCTTTGTGGAAAATGTTACCTTTTAAATGAGAATATTTGTGTATTACTGACTGTTAAAATCTGCTTGCTTCCCTCCGATCAAGTCCAGGAGCCTGTAAGTAATTTTCTGATATATGTGAATCAACTCTTTCCTAACTGGAGATTTTTCTCATAGAAATCATGAAGTTGGCAAGAAGTTTGAGCCCTTAATGTTCACTTCATACCTGAAACTTGTTCACAGTGCAAGTGTTAAGAGATGTTCAGTTAGCTGTAATCTCTCTTGCAGTGGAAAGTGTAAACCAGCTCCCACTTTACCTGTAGACCAGTTGAGTGTTTCAGGTCTTGAAGCATGTGATAATGGAATGTGACATAATCCTAAAATGGACAACATCTGAGTCTATCACGTAGTATCCTCAGTTGTTACTGTCCAAATATTTACTATTTCTTCCTCATTCCTTTCTTTTTTACTGCAATAAACACCTGACTAGGGGCTCAACTGCAATAAATGCATCATGACCTGACTCGCTCTCCTAGACCCTACTGGTGAGAGAGAGAGAGGAGGTGCATGATACATGCTTCTTATTTTGAGACTTGTTCTGTTGAGTGACTTAGGTAAATAGGCATTTAAATAGCCTAGTGCTTGTTCATACCACCTTGGTTTTGGATGTCCATCTACAGTTCCTATTTAAATTTCCCTTCAGGAAAGAAATCAAATGTTTATAACGTGGTTAATTCTCATTACACACTTTTCCTTGAGTTAATCTCCAGTGGTATATAAGAGCATTTAAATGAAGAAATTGTTTCAGCAAGATGTACTGAAACCTACAAGGTGAACTTGATTATACACAAAGTGTAAAAATGCATTTTTTTTCTTTCATATTTAGTTTGAAGGAATCTTGTAGTGTTTCATACTGTGATAGTGACTTGCAAAGTTTAGTTTGACTGATGTCCTAAAGGAACTTAACATGTGACTTTTTACCCTAAAAAGCTGAATTTGTTATAAAATAGTTTGCACAGATACCAAATTCTTGCTGCTAACAGGTAGTTCCATTGTTTTCTTAGTAAATGGGGATATAAAGAATTGCCTTAAGCACTTTTAGATTTTTTTTAGACTTCTCTGAGTTGGTGTCTGTCTTGACTGAGTACCAATATATTAGTGATATGGTTGGTGCACTGTTTGTACAAAGCAAATGAGGAAAAAAGTGTTTGTTATGAAGTTTCTCTGCAGCTAAAGGGGGTTGCATGCAGCCTGTGAAGTTCCTTTTTTTCCAGAAGGCATCTTCAGGGGTTGTTCTCTGGCGACGGCTTTGAGCTCCTGAAGGTTTGCAGTTCTGTCTGTGTTGTCTGTCTGAGGGTTACGGCTCACCTGCCTGCTGCCTTCGATCCTCACCCAGCCTCCCTGCTCTGGAGCTCCTGCAAGTTCCTTCGGCGACACGGACACCTCGGAGCTCTCCGCCAGGTGACCAGCGTCAGATGCTGACACCAGTTGGTCAACTGGTACCTGTAGGGAGCCGAAGGGCTCGCCGTGAGTTCGCGCTGTGGCGGAGCGCTGCGTGTTTCAGTGCGGAGAGCTGTGAGCACTGACACAAGTGCTGTTAGCTGCAGAAGGGGTGCCTGCGAGCACCCGGAGATGGCTGTTGCTGTGACTACCAAATAAACGAAGCAGAAGCAGACGTCTCCTTCTTCTCCTTGCCTCACGCGAGCCAAGCACCTCACACACCCCCTGCCCTCTCCTCCTGCCGCTCTCCCCTCCCCACAGCGGCACACACCGACCCTCAGCCCCACACCCCCCCCACACTCGGGCACAGCCCGCGGCGGCCATGACGGGGGCGGGCGGCGCCTCGCCTCAGCTCGCCTCAGCCCCGCGCATGCGCCCTGCGCCTCCCGCCTCCCGCAGGGCGGCCGCGCGGCCCGGTTGGGTCCCCCCGGTAGCGGCCCGGGGCCATGCGAGTGGCGGCGCGGCCCCGGCCCCGGCCCTGGCCCCGGTCCCGGCCCCGGTCCCGATGCAGAAGATCAACAAGAACGCGGTGCTGGCGCTGCTGAGCCTCAGCAGCCTGCTGTTCCTCCTCTTCCAGCTCGCCTACTACAGGTCCTACCTGGCGCACAAGGTAACGCCCTGCCTGTGGGCGAGCGCAGCGTGCCGGCAACCCCACGCCCTCCCGTCGTTTTTACAGAAAAAAACGGACTTCTAATCTATTTATTTATTTTTGGGGGGGTGGGGGCATGCTTAATAAATTGGGGCAGCCCTGGTGCTGCGTGGCGAGCAGCCTCTGCCTTCTGCCCGAGTTGCGGTTGCGCCCAGTGCCTCCTGCTTTCTGCAGGCAGAAAGAATTAGGAACCAGAGGCTCGGTCACGCAGTCCCTGCATGTCTGTCAATCCCCAAGGCTTATGGTGTCCTTCTAAATATACCGAGCCCGAGCACTAGGCTATGAGTTCATGCTCAGCACTGTGGTTAGGTGATCGGGTTCGGTACAGTAGCTAGGTTAGCCACAACCATAAAGTGCTAACTGGATAAATGCCCTTGAAAGTCCTGCTAAGAAATCATAAGAAGCAGTTCAGCTGAAACTTACTGTTTTTCCCCCGTTCTTATTTGTTTTTGCTAGAACGGAGCAGCTTTTTCAAAAGCCAGAGGAAGCCAGTCAGGCCAGGACAGCACTAGATGGGTACGTACATCATCGGCTCACCTGGTTCTTCTGCAAGGCTCAGAGAAATCGTACAAAACTGCAAACTCAGTGCCCAGTTCTCTTGGCCCTTCACTGGAGCTATTTAGCGTTAAGGACTAAACCATACTCCCTTCACTGAGTGAAAGTTGTGAAGTGTTTCGAAACTGAAGTTCAAGGTGAACACTGAGGCAGTTGAGCTGGTATTACAGCTCTCACTGTACAGTCCTTCGAAGTGTCGTTTACATTTTTAAGAACCAAATGTTGTTCTTTCTGATATTGAAGTTTTGATCCAGGCTTTTGTATTCTTTCAGACTGAGTATTGAAAAGATTGGCTTTTGGACTTCCACCTTGCTTGATTGTATCATGGCAAAAGAACAAGCTGCAGGTCTCATGTCATAGAAAACTTATTTGCTTGCTGCACTTGCTTAACCTGCTGCTAAGTGTTTCAGGTTACCTGGTTATCCTGGGTTGTAAAGCTCTTTGCAAGCAGGAAAACCCCACATTTCAGCATTCACTAGTTGCCTTATTCCAGCATTCAGCAACAGTGTTACAAGTGCCATTACGTACTTGAAACAGAATATTTTTGTTATCTCTTACATAAGGCTTACAGGAGTCAGTGCAACCAAAACTTCATCTTGGCCATGTGAAATCAAAAGTTGTGTTGTGGTTTTGTACTGAGTTTGGAACCACTTTTACAGAAGTCTTCTGTTAACAGATCTCCCCCTGCGCAAATAGCCCAGGTGGTTGGGGAGTACAGAGTGCTGGGAGCTGGGTGCCCTTTGCTTTGGATGCAGTATGATAATGTTGCTAGTTAGCAAAACAGCCATTTAAATGCCTTGTTTCTGCTGAGCTGGAGGAAAGGAGCTCTAGTTAAGAGCTGTACTTGGGAATGCTCCAAACCAGCTGCTCTGTGGACTGCTTGCTGGTGCCAGGAATGTCTCACTGTTCTTGGAGGTGGCTTCCTTTTTGGAGCTACCTACGTGGTGTTAGGTGACATAGCCACAGTGAGCTTCCAGTCTGCCACTCTTTGGGCAGAGCTCTCATTACCTTTAACATGTTATTACAGGATTATTAGTAAGAAAGCAGAATGGTCCATGTGTTTTCTTTAGAGTGTCTTCCTTTGGAGTCGAAAGTACTCTATGTGAATGAGTTCTGCTTGATGTCATGACCATCCCCTTCTACTGATTATTTAAATTACAGTTAGAAGCACCTGTTCCCCTGGAGAACTGACAAGAAAAAAGTAGATCTGCACTGATTTGCTTCTTGTTTATCTGCTTGTTCTAACTACAGAAATAACGCTAGCACATCACTTACCTTTCAGGTCCATGTAGCTGAAATCACTGAGAGGGTGGCCTTGCATCTGCTTGTCTAGATTCTGTTCGTTGATCAACATTCTGTCTTCACTCATATTTTTGCACCTCTCTGAAGCCAAAGCCCTGCACAAGAATGGGGAGTTGGCATGCAGAATCTGCTTGAACAGGAGTTTGACTAGGAGAAGGTTAGAGCTTGAGTTAGAAGACCAGGGTCAACTTGCTGGGCTAGTAGCTTGGACAGCCAGACACTGCTTTCCCTTATCATGCCTCATCTAGAAACCTGGTGACATAAAGCCTGACAGTGGTGTTCTAACCATTTTTTTTTCCTGATCAGAACTCTACTTTCAGTCATTAAATTTAACTGTTGCTGTTAAATAACTCAGCTACATTTTCAATCATAGGGCAGCTGTGATTGCTGTAAATCTTCCATATGCTATGGATATTAAAATGTAATTGATCAAAATTCTCCTCTGAGTCAAGTTCCTCTCACCAGGCACAAGACCCTGGTGGTACAGCCTTTACCTCCTTTTGCAGCGTTGCCATGGTTGAGTGCCCTGCATAGCTAAAGACTGGATAAATCTTCAGTGCTCACTTCCTAACTTCTCACTGAGTCACACTTTGTACACAAGTTCTAATTGAATCTGAAAGATCTTTCCTATTGTCTTAGAGACATGGAAAGCCTGAAGCAGACTGTTACCTTCCAAAAGAGGAAATTTCCATTTCCACATTTTTTTTATAGAAATAAAGTACACACTCAAAAATGTATTGGGAGATATGGTAGATGAGATTTCTATCTGAAAATTGGTCAAGAGTTTTAATGTATTAACTTCTGTACACTAAAACGTGATATTTCTAACTTCTAGTTTTCTCCTCTGTTATAGCATGTGGTTAGGAAGTTCCTATCCTTAATATCCAGTCACAATATTCCAGTGTATTTGATTGATCCTTTAATTCTGGGACTTGTTGATAAAGACATTGAACAGATCAGAAGTTCTTCTGATGGCCCTAGTCCAGAATGCAAGTACTTCTGTGTTCCAAGAGACTTCACTACGTTTGCACTACTGGACAAAACGTGGAAGCATGAAGTAAGTGTGTTTTCTTCTTCAGTTCATATTGCATATTCTAATGCCTTTAACTATTGTAGGATTTTGTGACATAATGTTTACATGTTTGTATTAAGGACTCTGAATTCATTGTGTGGAAATCCTATAAGGCTATTGGTAAAATAAACTGTTTTTTGAAGTAAAAGGTATTCAGGCATTAGCCTATGTGGCTTTAGAAACACATGAGTTGTTGAGAGTAGCAACCCTGCCTCTTTGTCAGAGAAGTGGTTTGAAGATGGATACATTAAGAGTCCTTTCAAACAACTGAAAGTTTTTTAGAAACTGTCTGCAATATTCATAAGCACTTTTAATAACATGCCACCCCCAAAAAGGAAAAAGAGTTTGTTCTTGTATGTTCTTGTAAAATGGAATATTTAAAGCTGTGATGTGGGTACAGACGTAATCAGTCTCGAATTTGAGGATCTGTCAAGAAGAAAATTCAGGTATTGATGTGACAAGGCTGGGAAGATTATTATAATGTGCTGGCTTACATTTCTTTTAGTACATCCCAGTACTTGCACCATTTTATTTTGTCACTTAGTGTAGTGGCACCTCTGTTTTTTAGTAGTTTGAGATTTTTAAATGGATGTATTAAAAATAGAGGCATAGTAAGTGATGAAGGACAAAATGGAATCCAAGACTTTTTCATCAGCCAAGTGTCATCTGGAAATACATATTAGATTAATTTATACAGACTAGAGATGCCAATAATAAACAGCTTTTTTCTTTTCCCTTCCTCATTTGCATCCCTGTTCCCATCCCCATCAAGAAACATTAAAGTGGTCAACAGCTATTTCACTGAAGCAGTCCTACCCAGGTGAAGAGTGGTGGCACCCTGCATTTGATCAGGCCGTTATTTTACCCACAGCAGTTAAGGAATTAAAGGGACTGAGAACAAAGTTGTGTTGCAGAACGCTAATACAACTTCACTTCTACATTCCTATGTTGCATGTTGTTTGTGTCTATAGCATTCAGAGAGATGTGTGTTTTATATACATATATAAAACACTTCAAGGCAGGTAATTGAAAGGGTCTTTAAATGCTGATAGATTCTTATCAGCCAGAATTTCATCCCTTTTTTTCTGTGAAAATAGGAAAGCCTATTACCTGGTGTAGCGTTAGTTGTTTGGTGAGATTTAGACAAATATTTGTATGCATTGTAAAATAAGATCTTCTAGTAATCATTTTTGGATTAGTGGTATGATTATTCAAGGCCTTGGGAACACCAAGTTCAGAACAAGCCTACCTTTAGAGAACAATCTGAAAGTGCAGAGAAGTCTGCTCTCGGAAGGAGCAAACTTAGACCAAGCATGAAACTTGAGTTTGGATTCAAAGATGTAAAATGTGAGCTACAAAGAACAGGTATTGTGGCAGAGAGTGTTTTATTCTGCAAGGGAATTTATTCCTCTTTTTTAGAGGAATTTGCTGTGTAGCCAGGTCAAAACAGGCAGAAAGCAAAATGAAAGAAGTTCTGACTAAGGTTGAATGTAGCAGATATTTTTTTTTAGAACAGAATATTCCAGAACATAAAGACTGCAGTCCTCATGGCTTTGAGATCTTCAGCAAAGGCACGGAGTAGCCTTTACTTACTCTGGTATTAAGTGTGAAGATCTGAGTCATTGGTTTACCATTCATATATTAAGAATTCTGAAATTTGTTAATAGCAGTCTTCATGTGAATGGTTTTCTTAGAATATTGAAAATAGCTTTTAATTATGGTAAAGATTTTGGATTATCCTTCATATTATACAGGTAAGAGTTTCTGCAAAGCATTATTTTGTTGATGCTACAAAAAGCACAACATAGAAAAGGTTTGCAGCAATTAGATTGTTTTATCGATCATTTGATCAACAAAATTTAAGAAAAGGAAATACAGTGTTTGGAATTAGTTATGGTTCTTAATCTTTAAGGTTTTGTAAGTAATTGGTGCTTAAATCTGATTAGAAAATAAAAATTGGGAATGTCAGCTAATAATAAGCGTTTAGCATTCAATTTTGGTTTATTTTCCCTTTAGCTTCTCTCTTTCTGTTTGTCTTTCTCTCTTATTTTTAGGTGGGACTTTTTAGAACTGCTGAGAAAATGGGGTTCCAATGGCTAAAAGTCCTAAACAAGGACCCCCGCTTGGATGGTATGGATGACCTGTCTGGAACTGAAATTCCTTTGCACTACATTTTTAAGCTGGCGTCTCATGCCATTCACCTGGTGGTCTTCTATGAGAGGAGCGGTAATTACCTCTGGCATGGCCCCCTGAGGCTCAAGCAGCATATGGACAGAAAGTTTGTGCCTTTCCGGAAACTCCACTTCGGTCGCTACCCTGGAGCATATGAAAAGTGAGTTCACAACAGAGGAGGAAAAAAGCACTTCCAAAATAATTTGTTTATCCTGTATATATAAGTTACTCTCTTCTCTAAAGTTAGGTTATGAAATCTATCATTATGAATAATTCAGCTCTCAAACTGCAGGTAGATTAAATTTATGAAGGAAAATGTGATTCAGGCTACTCAAACAAGAGATTTCCATCATTTATAAAATGAAAAATGAGAGGTAAAGTTCAAGTGGCAAGAGATGTAGTAATGGATCGTACATACTTGGTGTTCTTACTAGAAACATACATGTCCTAAAGTAGAATACAGATACTGAGCATCAGTTGAAAAGCAGAGGCAACACAAATCTGCTTAGTAGTAGTCTAAGGAACATGAGTAAAGAGAAGTGATTTGTACCACAAAGGCAAGTACCAACTACTGCACCTAACCCATGCTCATGAAGCTCCAAGTTGACTCCTGCCTTGCATAAATGTTTGAATTGGTGGTATTATTTATCCCGTCTTACGCTTGAACTTTGCCTCTCATCGGTAAAAATTATTGTAAGTGTATGCCTTTTCCTACAGCACTTTCAGTAGTGATATTCCAGGAAATACCGATCATAGCAAATCTTCACTGTTTTCAAAGCCAAGCACGTACCATTATGTTTTGAGAACAGTGTTCCTATATGGTATGTGTATATGTCACAATTGAACAGCCAGACATTTCACAGGTCAAAGTAAGTTATTTAAGTTTTCTTCTTTAATGTTGAGAATGCTCTTCCTTCCTTTTAAAATATGGAATCTATACCAACTATGTTCCTAAACATTTAAAAATGACTGTGTAAGCTGTTAACTATGACATTTCATTCATTGTGAAGGCTGAACAGTTCTTAAATTTTCAAGGCAATTAGACTCCGAGTAGAGGTTGAAGTTTGATTCTTAAAGTGTATCTCATATTTAGACAAACAAATAAACAGCCTGAATTTTCAAATGTACTGAGCAACAAACTAAACAGATTTAGTACAAGTCATGAGTCAATAATGGAACCACTGATCTGAAAATCTAAGTATGGACTTACTGGGATAGAATTTCTTTTTAGACAAAATTTGGAAGGGTTTGAGGGAAATACTAAAACTTTTGTTGCTCTGTGATCATAATCAGTTTTGAGTATATTTGGACAAAGGAGTCACTGGCAGTAATATGTAATAAGTTTTTAACCAGAGCTAGAGGACAAAATGACTTCTAGTTTGTAAAAGAGTTGGGTGGGGTAACTTTTCATCTTTCTTTCCATGCAGGCCTGAACTCTTGCTTGTTTCCATTGACGACTTAAAAATTCAAATTCCAAAAAATCCGTCCAGTTTTCTAGAGGAGATGACACACTCTAGATTTCTTGAATGTAGGTACAGAGAAGCTCGGGCTTTCTTTCAGGTTAGTGGTAATCAGGTGGTGTCCCTGAGATGTAATGTACATTTTCACTGGTTTGCCAAAGACTACATAAACAGTCCCATTTAAGTAAGACACAATTAATCATTCACTTAAATAAAGCTAAGTGCAGACTCTGAGACTCAACAGAATTTAGTAAAAGTTTTTAGTAAATTTAGTAAAAAAAATTTAGTAAAAAATTTTTTATTTAAAAATAAAACTTTAACTGAAAAATCATAGTCTTTCTTTTTGATTTGTTGAGTACATTTTTTTCCCATTTTCCAAAACTATGAAAGGATGAGGTAACCAACATGTCTGAAATTCTCTCACATTCTTATTGTTAAACAGATTTCATGAGATCTTGTGTATCTTTGTAGACAAAAATTTTACTTAAGGCATTTCTCAGAGTTCTGAATAATATTTACTTTCATATTCATATGAACCATACACTTCAGTTTTTCTCGTTGCTTTTTTGACCATGTAAGCCAATGTTTTCATCATTGTTTAGAGCATTATCTTTAGAACACTGACACCTCGTTTAGGAGACAATTAAAAACTTCCTGCTGGAGTAGGGGTAGTGTGTCATCCTGGCTTGACAAGGACTGAGATACAGTTCCAGAAGTACCACAGTTAAGGCAGTGGAGTCAGAGTCAGGTCACTCAATTTGAGTAATCTCCAATTTTGCAGAAAGGGAAAAAAGAGGACGCTGGAAGTTCCATTCCTGAGACATTTAAGATCTCAGAGAAGGGACTTCTCCTTTGGTCTCTGTGCATGACATCTGTCCTTGTTCGGTTTAGTAGGCTGTAGCTCCCCATACGTATGTATAGCAGGAAGGTTTACAGAAGGATAACCATGTGTTGTCACTTCCCTTGTAAAAAGGACAGAAACTGAACATGCCCCTCTTCCACTCTGAAGCCCTGGGGCAGTAGTTGCTCCAGGTATAGAAAATGCAGTTCATGACAGTGATCAGTCCATTGTTCGTACGTCTGATTTGTGAACGTTCATCCCAACTGCCATGCTGTTCTTGGCTTTGCATTACAGAAGATGCTACCACAGTTGCAGTTGGAAGATAGACATTACTTTCTTTCTCTTTGTGTTTAGTGTTTCGTGTCAGAAGTTGTCAATATGCAGCAGTAACACTTGGTGGCGCCAAATAAACTTGTAACATGCCCCAAGTAAATCTAATTCTGTCCTTGCTTTCCCCCAAACGGTGGGTATTGACTTCGGTGTGAACAGAGCTAAGATTCATGCATATTGTTGCCAACACTGTCTAATATATATAGTCATTTTCTATTTTACCCTGACCTTACATTCTGCTAGGTTGGAAAAAATGAATATTGACATTTCAGAGTTGAAATTTAACTTGTCATTCTAGTGCATGTTCTCAAACTGGACTCTGTGTGTGAGAACAGATAATGCCCAGATATTGCTTAAATAAATTTTTAAAGGTCATTTTTTCTTAGGACACCAGAAAATGAAGGGACAAGTTTGATCTCACAGTAGCTTACCTTTGCCTTCTAGCTGTATCCTGATGATGCCTCTGTTGATGCCGTGGAATTTAGAAAAAGAGCAAAATCCTTGCTCCATCTGGCTGCCCTGACACTGAATAACCTGGGAGTAAAGTTCTGGTTGAGCAGTGGAACTTGCCTAGGTAAAACTGTTCTAATTCATCTGAAATTTGAAACACTGTATCCTCTGTTGCTTTTGCAACTTTCTTCATGGTTGTCAACTGAGGTTAGCAGCTAAATGTGCTGGGCTGGAGGGTGTTATCTGTGAAGTGTGAGGCAGGTGTTCCACATTAGCTTTATTAAAATAAGGCCTTTTTGCTCCTGATTTTTTTTTAAAGGCCTGGGCCTCGGAGATGCTGGGCATATTTCAAGTGAAGTGTTAAGTGTTGTTAGTAGTTAAATGTATGGTGTTGATCACTGCTTGGAAAGTAATCAGCAGTTCCCTAAGTCACGTGGCTTACAATTTATTGTCTTCCTGGATGGAAAATACAATGATGGGCACATTCTTCTGATGTCCTTGTAGACTCATCTGATTTTCTTCCCATGAAGTTTAGCATTTGTCACTGACTTTTTACGTATAGTTGATCCTTTCATTATTGAAATAGGTTGTGAAAACTCACATGTGCACAATTAGCTTATATTTATTTTATTCCTAGGGAATATCATTTTCTACATTTTAAAAAGTGGCACAGACAAAAGAATGTTCCACTTATTGTCTTATTGTCCTGCAGTAATGTTTTGGAGATGAGTAATATCTCAGACGCTAATTAAAATAATAATTTAAAAACACAGCTGTAGCCCTGTAACTGTTCATTTCTGATTAGATTTGGACACAGATAAAGTGTATGTTTTCCCTTTAAGACATCTTAATTAGAAAACCAGAGATATTTTCTCTTTTAAACAGTTAATACTTTCTCTCTCATTCCTGGCTTTCTGGAGGAAGAAGCTGGCCCTAAGTGCTTTAGTGTAAATTTTCTCCAGCATGATTCCTTTGGTGCAAGAGAAAAGAAAAAGTCTTGTTTATGGTCTCATTCAAGGATTTCAGGCTGATGACCTTTAGACTGGTCATTTTTATATTGATTTTTTTTGATATATTTCTTACATTTCTGAACTAACTAATTCATTTTTTCCTTTTTTCCTCTCCTCAGGCTGGTATAGACAGTGCAATGTCATTCCTTACAGCAAAGATGTGGATCTGGGGATCTTTATAAGGGACTACAAAGCAGATATCATTCCAGCCTTTCAGAAGGCAGGATTACCACTGAAGCACAAATTTGGCAAGGTACGTAGATAATGAATAGTTTGCTTCATCTGTCTTTCTGTAGGTTTGAGTACCACAGTTCATTTAGATAGAAGTGGGTATCTGAAGTCTTCTCATGCAGACTTTTACTCAGAAATATTTTACCAAAGCGTATAATCTCATTGATTTCTGTGTGTTCTCTTGAACAGTGTGTGAGAAAAGACCTTTCGTATTAGCTTCAGACTTGTTTGGAGAGCCTGAGTTTCACTTCAGAAGCAATTTTTATCAAGTTTTAGAGGAGTCTAATCTGCGTCAGTGCTTCTAGAGGAACTTAAGAATCAAGGTTGGACCTGGTGCTTAGGGACATGTTTTAGAGGGTGACAATGGTGGTGGGGTGACAGTTGGACCAGATGATCCTGAAGGTCTTTTCCAACCTTAATAATTCTATGATTCTAAGGTAGAATTTAATCTTTGATGCTGGGCAGGCCCGATCAACCCCAATCAGGGGCAGATTGGTGATAGCTCTGAGATGTGCATCCTTCTATGCAGAGATAGCAGAAGGCAAAAGATGGCTTGACACTGGGCTTGTCCATTACTAATTTATTTTTTCCAAAGTATAAGCTGCAGAGAGGAATCAGAATGAAGATAGAATGGAGAAACAGAAGTACAGGAATTCATATCACAGGTTCAGCCACAGTTGATGTTACCATTACTGGTGCTAGTGAGTGTTTTATCATAGAAGAAGGTATTATGATAGGTGTTAAATAAAGACACTTACTAGTCATGTGTTTATTCACTAATATTATTCCTCTCTTTTATGTGAGAGTCTTTTAACAAATTGCGCTCTCAGATATTAGCAGTTCCTGCTTGAATTGTGGTAGGCTGTTGTTCGAGCTGTGTGAGGAAAAGTGGGAATCTAAAGAAAGCCGTTTTCTGTTCACAGTGCAAAGCAAATACATCTGTAAATGTTGATCTGTTGTTGTCTTCAGAATGACTGTTGTGTTGTTGTTCAGAATGACTTAGAGTTGATCCCAGCATTAATGACTCTGTGCTGGAGTTGTGGCAGAAGCCAAGGAGATGGTGCTGGAGCTTTGGGGCTAGAGGGAGGAAAGAGAAGGCAATCCCTCTGACGTGCAGAAAACTTGTAGTTTTCTCAAGGCACCAAAAATAAAGAAATTGTTGAGTTAGTGTATTTTCTACAGTTAGGATGGTAGTCACTGCATTGTTAATGAAGACAAATTTGTTCTCTTAAACATATGTAGCTTTGTGTTTTTATGAGCATATATATTGTGTGTTTTTGTCTTCTAGGTGGAGGACAGTTTGGAACTCTCTTTCCAGGGAGAAGATGATGTGAAGCTTGATATTTTTTTCTTCTATGAAGAGGATGACCACATATGGAACGGAGGAACTCAGGCAAAATCGGGCAAGAAATTTAAGTATGAACTGGATTTGTACCTCTAATAGGAAAGAAATTGAACAAGTTAGGGCTTAGTGTTAGCATTTTGTATTGTGTGCTGTTGTCTGGCAAAGTCTGTGCTCTTTGTCACAGTTATCAGAGGAGAATCAGTGGAGATTTTGCACTTTGAGACTAGAAAAGTGGAAAGATAACAATACTATGCCTTACTAGAGAGGTGCTCGGCTTGTCAAATGTCAGCTCTCTTGTGAAATCTAAAGCAGCGCTGTCATGTTGTGTATCAGGCAGATGCTATCTGGAGTGTGACAAGCTCTAAGTTAAAGCAAGAGCTAAAATGAGAAAGAAGTCTCTAAAACTGCTTGTTGTACAAACTTATTTTGTAGTGAAAAACAAATCCTTAGGCATCTGCCTTGGTGAACGTTATGCCAGAAAGTCTCAACTGTCCTAGCAAAGTAAACCCCGTCGTTTTGGATGTTGTGGTTGGTAATGATCTGGAATACTTCGTTGACTGTAGTGTTGTGACAGCAGTGCAGACAACTACGGCAGACCTTGTTCATATTTTGTAAATGCAATTTTAAACAGGATCCTGCATTTCTTGTTTCAATCTTTTAGGTATTAAATCAGCAAATGCGTAGAACATCATTTTAGTCTGCTTAGCAAGCTGAATATAGGGTTTGATAATTAGTGTTGTTTTTTTTTTTCCATCACCCACCTTAACCCAGAGACTCTTGCAGACTAGTTGAAAGCCTTGTTGACGTATATGGGATATCATTATCTTCCATATTTTGCCTGAACTGCATTTGCTTTCAGTTAGCTAACAAGAACAAAGTGAACGCTGTCACCCAGACAGTGATAGTGTGTGACTCCTTGCCTTAGTTACCTTTGTTCTGAAATAATAAACAAAGATTGGGGAAGATTTTTGATGACCTGAGTCAAAAGGTGCACTTATAAATAGACTAGTGGAAGAGTTACTGGAATATTCCCACATAGGAGATGTGGTACGTCTGTGTTGCAGAGTGGTTTTCCTAGAATACAGCAACAGTTTCATGGTTCTCCAGAGCAGGTTTAATATTTGTTTTTCCGGTCAAGATTATGGAGGATTTTCTGTAATATATTTTTGAGGAGTCAAGCTGACCAGTAAGTTCCTTTTCTTTTCTCTGTGCTTGTGGTATGTCTAAATTGAAATACTTGTTTCCATGCCAGCAGGGCTGAAATTCAAAACTGTGTTTTAGTGTCAGACTTTGGGACCCTCAGTTTTGCTCAGTCTTCAAGCCCTTTCAAAATTCTAAGGGAAGTTAAAGTGAGGATATCAGGCAAAAGAGAAGTGATTGTTTGGTAGTGTTGAATCCTAAATCCACTTCAGTAGCTCTGAAAAAATCTCACCTGCTCATACCATATAAAATAGTGTCAGAAGAGAAATTGGTTGCTACTAGATCATCACAGATAAAGGATGGAGGCTGCTTTCCATGATATTTATGTTGTTAATAAATGAAGAGTAAAATAAATATTTTTCTTTAAAGCTAAATATTTATACAGGCATTTTCTATACATCTTGTTAAATAAAAGTATGAAAAATTGAAGCATTTCTCATTTAGTCATGAAAATATTTTTCATGAGTCATTTTGTTCCGTTTCCTTCGCAAGCTGCTTTCAAAACCATATGAATCTCTGTGCGGTTTGCATCTTCATGTGTACAAATACTTCCACAACAATGCAGACATTAGCAAACTCATACATACTCTGTAATTTTGTCTAGAAGTAACAACAGTTGAAATTTCTTTTTAGTTTCCAAATTTGTGCTGGACAATTTTATTCTTCAGCAGAGAATACGTATTTACAAAAACTGATCCTGTGAATCAGATTTGTATTGTATGCTTTAATCCTTTAAGTAAATTAATTTGTAGTTTCTTAACATCAAGGCCTTTGTGTAATGATAAAATCTTTTCAGTGCTTTTATGTCCAAAGATTGATGAGACTGAAAATATAAGAAAAAGGTGAGCAGTGTGTGTACATAAGAGTATGTAGCCCTATCTGAGCCACTTGGAATGGGTGGACAGTGAGCAAGGATTCCAGTGGTGGGAAGCATCTCTGAAAGTTAGATTTTTCATCAATGAATGTAAACATCTGATTTTACTTAAGTAATCATTTCGGTGAAGTTTCAAACTGACTTAACTTTCCAGATTAGATAGTTTATTTAAATTATCTGTTCATTCTCCTTAAAATTGGTTATTCAGAGTTCGCTCCTTGGAGGATATATTATTTCAGTGGTTTGCTGATAGCTTTTGCTTATGCACACCCAGTGCAATTCTGTTTAAGTGAATGATTTCCTGGGTTAACAAGAGCTACTTGGTGAGTGTAGACCCACTAATAATGTTAATTTACGTTATTTTCCTTTTGGTAGATGGCTTTTTTTTTTCTTGTTGCTTTACTTTAGAGCTAATCAGCAATCTCTGGATATGAATCCCAAAGAGCTTGATTGCTATTTTTTTTAACCTCCATTTAAAACATAAAAGCAAGGTTTTATTTTCTGAAATTGTTTGTTCAGCTCTTAGAAATAAAGTTGTGTTTATACTTAGAGGAACTTGCTGGATTTTTAATTCATGCAAATGCACAAATCTTTTAACTTTCTTCTGTCTTCAGAAGTGCTAAGTGCTTGTGATTCCTTTTAGCCTGTGAGAAGGAGTTTTTAGATCACTTTTTTTCTGTTAGAGATTTAACTTCAGAATTGATCCTCTGCAGGAATAGTGTATAGGCTTTGGTTTAACGTGCAGACAGTGACACTGGGCTCCGTTAGGATATCATTCTGATCAGACTGAAGTTTACCTGTGAATTTCCACCAGTGTCAGTATACTTCTAGGAAGGGCTCCCATTTTCTACAGAAACGAACAGGTACAAATAGAATACTATTTGACAGAATGCTAGTGACAGGGACCAAGTAATTTCTTGTTGGCAGAATAGCATGGAAATAAACAGCAACAGAATTGGAAATGCTCTTCTCCTTAAATATATGACACTTACTAACCAGCTATTGTTGGTAACACTGCTGTCCAGTAAGTAAATTATGCTTTACAGATAGGAAGCTCTGAAATAAGAAACAAAACCAAAAATTATAAATGTAGCTTGACTTCTCACTGTAGTTGCTTGCTTTCTCTGTGGACTTACTGAGATGTGTCTTTCAGTCTTCTACTAGTGACCATCTTCTTTTGTGGTGCAGGTATCTCTTTCCAAAGTTTACTCTGTGCTGGACTGAATTCGTAGAACTCAAGGTACACGTTCCCTGTGAAACCCTTCAGTATGTTGAAGCCAACTACGGGCCAGACTGGAAGGTTCCCGTCAAGATGTGGGACTGGAAGAGCTCACCGTCCAACGTGCAGTACAACGGTGTCTGGCCTGTCGATGAGTGGGACGATGTCATTCAGATCTACTAATCAATCACCTCCCTGGTATCCTTGAAACTGCCACTTTGTAATTTCCTGTCTCCCAAGAGCATCAAGATCCGTTCCTTTTATAACTTCTCATCAGTTCCCCAAGGAGACGTTTTCCATTTTTTGCTTAACAGATTTTTTCACATTCATCATGCATTCTGATAGTTAAAGGTTAACGGCAGAATGTGGGAACTGAAGAGAAGGGAAGCTGAAAGTAAAGATGTACAAAATGGTGTAAACACATGGGCAGTTGACCATTTAAGTAAAAACTGTAGCCAAGTGGCTTAGACTTTCCTAGGGATCATCAAAACTATTCATTTCTCAAGCTCAAGAGAAGAAGAGGATGGAAGAATCCTGGAGAAGTTCTTTTTTTGTTGTTGTTGGTTTTTTTTGTTTGATTGTTTTGTTTTGTTTTTTTCTGAGATGCTCCTGTGAATTCACAACTTTTAAACACCCTATTTATGAGTACCTTGAATGCGTTTTATCTGAGTCATGTATCCCTCTGATGTGTAATAGGTTGCTCTTGGAGTGGAATATTTCAGTTCAGAACCTGTGTGACCCACCTGCTTCACATTTGTGGGATAATGGTCTAATATTAAATGAGTGGGTGGAGGAATTGAAAGCCCTGTCTGCATCAGAGCTTATTCAGTAAGAGTTTAACTAACCACTGCATGCAGTAACAAGAAATGTAACAACAGGGAATGTTACCTGCTTTTGTTCTCTCTTTTTTGTGAACATGAGGGTGTATGCTGCAGGGAGGTGCTTGCCTTGAAAAAATGTATTACCTGGTTTTGATATCCCAATCAGTGTTCTCTGTACAGAAGCTGAGTGGATTTTAGAGGATTATAGCTATCCCTGCTTTCTTACAATTAGATGGAAATGAGGGTCTCGATGCTTTTCTGTTTAGCATGGGCTCGCAGAACTGAGATCCCTGTGAATCACAGCTCTTTTCTCTAAGTGTAAGCAGAAGTGTGTACAAACACCAACTGCTCCGTCAAATTTGCAATAGCATGATTGCAAGGGAAGTGTTAGCATAACATTAGGCTTTGGATGGGAAGGGAGTGGAAGCCTGACAACTCTCTCCTCTTGTTTCTGGTTGTCTTTTGGGTCAATGGAATAAGCTCTCTTACTCAGTGTTTTGGAGCAGAGTAATAGTTTTTATGTGAAATTATGTGTCCAAGTTTGTTCCAGCCCTGCTGTGCAGGGAAGGCGAGACCATTTAGTTACCAGTGAGTTATGACTGATGTGTGGTACAGACCGGGGAATACTTTGAACTAGTGTCAAGGTACTGAATATTTCTCCTGTTTTCTTGCAACTAATCTGCATCCATTCTTTCCTTGCTAACGTAGAAGGGCTGTCCACGAGTTGCAGCTGTGTCACATTCTTACTGGGGAGGTTGAGTGTGTGGTTTGCATTCTGCTGATGTGCAGTTTTCAGCCATGCGGCTGTTTTATGGCTGTATCATTCCAGGTGCACTCGGGGTCTTCCCTGCTGTCCCCATCCTGGAGTGTGCTGCATCCATTTCCCTGCCAGTCCTCTGTGTTCCAGAGTTCTCCTGCCACTGAGACACTGGAGTGAATTATTCAGCTTCTGGCAAAACCTGTCATGCTGGCTTGAAGTGGTGCTGTAACTTTTCCTAATTAAGAAGGAGATATGAAATCCTGCTGTTGCCACTAACTTGCAAACATAAACATCGCATCATGAGGGATAATTTCTCAGGTAGATTTTTTTTGTATTTCTTTCCTTAAAATGGAAAAGGCCAATGTCCTCTTGATTCTAGTGCTCGGAGCTCTGTTGTCATCAACTTCTTTGTTTAATAGTGTACAGTAAACCTGAAAGTTTTACAAATGTGATAGATCTTTAAAAAAAGAAAGGAAAGATGCTATCAGAAAATTACAGTCCTGTCAAATTTTTGACTTTGTATTTGTACATGGAAAGAATTTGTAATGGAAAAAATGCATGTTCCTGAGAGAGAGGATGTCTTAAATATTTGATTATAACTGTGTATAAGTTATTCAAGTTAAAATATTTTCTCTTCAGAAGATACAAAGGAATATTTAACACAGATTAAAGGAACGAGGGTCTAGTTTGCTACTCAGAATGTGGTCTCATGCTTTGTTTTGTCATCTTGGGCAGCGTTTAACACATTCATTGTAGTTTCTACAAAATAATGCAGAGGCAGAAGTTTTGAACTGTTTCTTACACTGCTTATTGGACATCAATCTTGAGCTTTTATTTTTTAATAAATTTGATGAGATGTCAGCTATGCTGAGTTCTAATATGATTTACCGTGTGCTAGTAATGGTGTTTTATCATGACATTTTTATGCCACTTGCATTGGAGTTTCTTCATTGTTGAAGCTGTTTTACAGAGGAGCACTTTATACCTTCATTATCATTCATCTAGTCTTGCAGCTCCTATTACAAAGCTGTTTTTCAAAACACTGATGTATTTAAAATATTCTGCTTTGAAGTTCCCTTTCCAGTGTCCCCTTCATCCAACAGATTTTCGCTTAGAAAAGAATGCAAAATTGCATAAAATTGAGTCTTCATGTTTAGCAGAACCTTGTGGCTTATTAGCAATACGTGTGGGCATTATTTTGTCTGTTGAAAACATTTTGGTTTATTTGCCTTGCTTGTTAGCAGAAAGAAATATGAACTTCCTCTGATGTCAGAAAGAGAAGCTGGAAAATCAGGAGGAAAACAAGTCAGCAGACCACAAGTAGAAAATTGAACTGAGAAGGATAGCACGCACCTGTTCTGCAGCATTTGTTGGTTCTCATTAAACCAGAACACATTTTTGGCCTCATACGATTCCAAGATGATATACCAGATTGCATCCATAACTGAGCACATGATGAAACAGAGAAATATGAAGTTATGTTGCTGTTCTCAGTCCAGTAATATGTTATGTGTGGCTCTGCTGATGATTCTCAGCAGCAGCAGAGCTAGTCTGTTAGTGCATTGGCTGGTGCTGGAGTCAGATTCACCAGTGCTGAGCATAAGTGTGGCATATGATGGTCAAGGTGACACACACTGCTTCCTCAAAGACTGTCAAACTGACCTACAGAGTCCCCAGGTTTGTGCATACCACTATTTGCGTTTTTATTGACTTCAAAATACAGGTAATCAAAATCCACAACAAAGACTTAAGCAGGTGTCCATCTGTAGAAGAAAGGATCCTGCAATTACACAGACACATTGTACTTTTGCCTGTCTCCTGACGTGCTTCATCTAGTGATTTGTCTGCAGGTTTCCTGCTTCTAGGACTGTGTCTCAGGAGTGGTGTAAATATTATTGAACTGGTTCTGTTGGAAGGTTCTGTTAGGCTGACACCATTCCCCAAAGAAACATGCAGATTTAGGCATTTGTTTCCTGTTAGCTTCTCCTGATTTGCCTAATCCTAAATACATTCTTAATTGTAGACCTGTTCTGCCTTCCAAAATTACCATCTTCAGTTTAAAAATGATGCAGACAGGAGGTCAACTTCTGTATTTTCTTAAATGCATGTATTTAAGGTCTAAATATGCAAAGCACCTCCATCTTCATGTAGCAATCAAAGCATGTTACATATGCTTACTTGTTAAAGATAGCAAAACCTGTTCAGGAAAGCTCTGGAGTAACTGCAAGGAAAGTTGGAAGAAACTGGGTTGCTTGAAGAAAAGAAACCGTAAGGATCTCTAGCACATTTTCAAAATTCACAAAAGGGGGTTACAAAAAAAAAGAGGGAATGTATGTGCTCTCTCCATAACTGCCAAGAAATAAATATAAATTTGAGGAACACAAATTGAGGTCGTTTGTATAGAATACTGGAGTATGTTACACATGGAAATGGGTGAAGCCTTTGGCTTTGGTGGTCTCTAAGAACAGACATGTCTGACAAGGTCGACAGTACTTAAGGATTAATTGTAGTTAATCCTCTCATCCAGTTGGAGTGAGCTTCTGTTTTCAATTATTCTGTTGCAGTTTTCAGTAATTTTCTGCTTTTACAAAATTACAATTGAAACAATCGTTTGTCTGTAACCTTAAGGAAGTGTTATGTCTAGAATCAGACTCTGGAGCTGAGCACCCACTGGGAATGATAGTGAAGGCAATGTCCATACCACTGTGGAAACTGGAAACAATAGGAAGGTGCACCACCTTGAGCACTTGAAAACCAGGTCATTTAGTACAGCAGTGCAAGATAGCTCCTCCAGAGGATGTCTGAGCCAGACCGAGGCTGCTAAACAATCCTGTTATTCCTGCACAGAACAGGCAATGCTCTGCCACGCAGGGCAAATAAACATCTGAGGGCGATGCTGACGCTTTTGATCTGTCCGGAAGGAACATTCTGATATGTCTGTGTATGTTTCAGCTTACTCTTCTTTTAAAGTCAGAAGTGGAAGGTAGACAAAACTGTGTGATGATACAGGTATGAGAGAGTCACGAAAATATGCCCCAGGTCTTTGTCTACTGTCCAAATGAAAAAGAATTCGCTGATTTTGTTATGCCCTTTGCCTTGAAACAGAGTCTGGGATATGCTGGCCCCTGGTATTAAAAACAAACAGTTTGTATCCTCTGCTGCTTTAGAATTCTCTCCCCTTGTCATATGTCTAGAAGTCTGTCAGCTCAAGAGAAAAACAGTCTCTGCTTTTCACTGTCACTTGGAATTGCTTATTTTGCACAGATGAATGAGACGCTGAAGGGGTGACATCAGAGCAGTAACACAGATACCTTCCTTCGTACCAGCCAGACTTGCACCAACTTGGTTCTGTCCTTTATTGTTCATTTGCAGAATTCTACCAGTTGACATAGCAGATCAAGCAATTCTGGTGCAGCAGCCTCACTGTTCAGGCTTATTTTCTTTATGGTCATGTAACTGTATCACACTAGGTATTGCACAATAAAACACAGGAACTGCAGGTCTGCATACAAACACACAGAAATTGCTATGTAGCACTTGCACAAAAGGTTTAGATCCTCAGCATTGGTAAATAGGCACCAGCAGCTGATTTTCATCACTTGATGGTTTTGCCTAACAGCATTAGTTAGGTTAATAGTGAGCTCTCTGTTGAGGCTCAGTTTTATACATAAATGTCCTTATTGATTTAGCCTGCAACAGAGTACACGACTTATGAGCTAAATGAGCGTTATCAAATCCAGGTCACTGCTGTAATTAAGGGCTGTGGGCAAAAGCTCTCTTTAAAAAAATGAAAAAAATGAAGAGTCAATGAAAGTTTTGTTCTGAAAGGAGGGAAATGAACACTTGTGGTAATGCAAGCTTTCCTGAAATAAATCTTTCCTCCAGCTTAAAACAAGAGCCATAGTAATTTCTGGATAAAATATCTGCGCCTGGTGCGCTGTAGATCATGCTGCATGCTCATAATGTCCCCCTTTTGGCCCTAAAATTTCTGAATACCTTCCTTTATCATCAGCTTGAATGTTAGTAGGTACAATGCAAAGGAAACGTTTGGGATTCTAGAGCAACTTGGCCAGCATACGAGCTACTATTTTCAGAGTTTTTTTTCTTCTTCTGTCTATGGAGCAGAAATCTTTTATTTGACATTTCAAAATGAAACCTTTACAATTCTGAACGGGAAGCTGGCTAGGATAAGCAGCAAGCAGTCTTGCAAAATTACTCTCATTACTGTGGTTGTGTTTTGAATCGTTAGAAAGCAGCCGCTGCATCATTTAAAATACAAACCTGGGTGAATGATTTAGGAACGTGCTGCAGATGGCACTTCCCAAGTTGCAGCAGTTTGTGGAGACACTGCAGATAATCTGTGTGATTGACATGCCTGCCCAAGGCACTGCTACTGAGGCGATGGGTGAAGCCCTGTATTTGAGCACCACATAAATCAAAAGGCCTGCAAAATTTTGAGCAGGATTATACAGATGTGTATTGGAAATGGGCTGAAATCCTGAGAGCAGAGATTGCTTGCATGGGAGCAGAACTTCTCTTAGATGATGGTGTAGCTCTGTCAGTCAAAATACCCTGCAAATCACAGCTTTTTGGAAGACTTTTACATCCAAAGGCTTTGCTGGTGTTTATTCTGAGGGCAGTGAGGCCCTGGCACAGGTTGCCCAGAGAAGCTGTGGATGCCCCATCCCTGGAGGTGCTCAAGGCCAGGCTGGATGGGGCTTTGAGCAACCTGGTCTGGTGGGAGGTGTCCCTGCCCATGGCAGGGGGGTGGAACTGGGTGGGCTTCAAGATCCCTTTTGACTCAAACCCTTCCATGATTCTACAAGTCTCCGTTTCCTACCTCCATGCTTTTAACATGATGTGGAGTTGCTGAGGGCCTGAAGGAGAGAGTGGGTCTCCTCACCAAAATGACTGTGATATCCTCACTGGCCCCTAGACCCAGCCTCCATCCCCCCTTGCCCCAGCATCCTTCCTGGAAGGAAATTTTGTGGCAGGAACTGAGGGGGGCTGTGAAGTTGGGAATGAGAATGCTGTTTGTGACATACATTCGGTTTCACATGAGCTTTCCATGGATGGAACCTGTCTGAACAGAGCATCTCTGAGAACTCTGGTCGTGATAGGTTGGACATCTCTTGTTCTTCGTACTGCCAGGGACCTCAGTCCTTGGGTGAGCCCCGTTGCCTGCACGTCCCTGTGGTGTTCTGTGTCCCAGGTGCCACCACTGCAAGCTCTCCAGAACGATGCCTTGTGCAATGGGGGGATTAACAAAGCGTTACTACAAAGACAACTCTTGGAAAACTTGGTAAAGCATTTTGTTTTTTAAATGAGCCTTCTTAATAACAAAACCTTGCTACAAGCACTGTGTCTTTCAGGCACCTGCAGGTTCAGTGCCTGTAGTTAGCACGAAGTCCTGCTGGCTGCTGGCCTGCTGTAATTCTACCTCACCATTATTTCTTAATGGTGAGCCCGGTCTGAAAATTGGATTATACAGAGTTGGTGATCTAGAAACCAGGAAAAATAAGGTGAGAGTGCTTTTTTTTTCAATAAAATGATTGTATTCAAGCATTTATTATGCATACAGACCATACATGGGTACTTAGGCTACATTTTGGCTTCCCTGTATTTCCCACTGCTAAGGCAGGTGACGTTGGCACCACTCAGGGCAGTAATGTGCCTGGCACAGTGCCATACTGTGCACAGATATTCAGGCTAGCTCTGAAACAGGAAGAAATTTGGAGTTGTAGTTAATAACAAGCTGAATGCATGGTAACACAGCATGCGTAGTGACTAGAGGAAGTAAATTGGGATGTATAAAGAGTGTTAGTGTCTGCAGGAAGAGTTAAATAAAACTTTTGTTATTACGCTCAGTATTTTACCCAAAGT